GCTTGAAGAAAGCAAATGATTGATAATCATTTAACACCAAAACCCAACTGAGTCTTTTTAACCTATAGCCGCTATGGAAATTAGGAAAGTGTATAGTAAAATTGACATACTATGATATCCCCAATGAGAGAAGCTGGTAATGGAAGTCCTAAGATGACAAGCCTCTGTCATAGCTGGATAAAGCAATGGAAAGCCAAGCCAATTACCTAGGAGTAGAAATGTCTTTACAGTTCTCTAGGTGGCACAAATTGGTAAGTACTCAGCTGCTTAACTGAAAGGTTCATGGTGTAAACCTCCCCCATGGTACCTCAGAAGAAAGGCTTGGTGATTAACTTATACAAGACCATAGGCATTGAAAAATCCCAGGGTCTGTGTGTTTAAATTTGCTTGACACCAATTGGTTTATAGATGTCTCCAGTGGTTTTTGTGCTGGAATGTCAGAAATCCACACATTTGGACACAGGACCCTCCAAAGTAGAGTTGCTTTACCACTATTGTAAAGAACAGGATATTACCAGTCCACCATTAAAGGAAAACCTGTTGGGTAGCATGGTCACTTTCTCTCCAGAATTCATTGACTGCTAGGCAAATAGATTCTGACTTGAGCAGAAGAAATACACTCCAGCTATCAAAAAGTAACTTTAGTGCAGGTCTTTATTTATAGATACCCAAGAATATTCATACTTTTGAGGAAAGCCAGCAGTTTAAAACAAACACCAGAGGAAACAGTTTACTATAGGGGCTAGAATAAACTTTAAATCCTCAGAACGTTGAGAAACTTAACCATGCCCCATTCCCCTAAAAAATTGCTGAAAACGCCCCAACCAGTTTTAATTTGGAATTAAAATATTTTTAAAATAGAAATTCAGTCAGTAGGATAAAGAGCAAATCAGTGAGAAAGAGAATGCAATAAGAGTTCCTTTTTGGATTAAGTTAAACTGTGGAAGAGTTTACAACACCAGACAATAAGACTGAATAGAGATACGGAAGAAGAGGCCATATTGGTTATGCCAGGAGGAATCAAGGATTTATCCAAATGAAAATAGGGTGGTCAGGTCCTATTAGCAAGTGTAAGTAGAAATCTTGGGAATAGGAGGAATTAAAAGAAGTGAAGAAGGCTGAGTACACAGAACTTTGGGCAGGACTGTAGTAAGGGTCCAGGCGAGGCAGAGTAGTCAGCTAGGAAAGTGTGAGAACTAGGGTATCACCAAGAAAGAGAGAATTTCAAAACAATGAAAAAATGCATGTGGAACTCGTAAAGAAAGTTAGGGTTGGATGAATGGCAAGAAAAGAAAAGTTATTCGGCAGGTTGAACCTGATGAAATTGGTTTTGTGTGGGGAAGTTGGAATGGCTTTTAAGTACTTTAACAGATCACATTTATTGCCTTCTTAATAATGTAATTTCATGTAGTAGTGTTTCACTTGCTTAGAAAATACATATTTGTCACTTTAGAATTCCATTTTTAAAGGGAGAAAAAGAATCCTGTAGGCAGAGTTAATTGTAGTGGGGAGAAGCTAGCGACAGCTTCCCCAGACCATGCACACTTTGTTTCTCAAGGTTGATGAGCTTTTTGGGTTTTTTGTTTTATTGATCTTGTAATCATGCTCTTCTTTTTGAAGCCGTTTAAATACATTGCATGATACTTACGTTATTTCTTGAGATGAAACATCTCAGAGTTGACATTTGCTTATAAATGTTAATTATGGGTATTTCTTCAAGGTGTGCATATATATGTATATATGGTTTAGTATCTGAAGAGAATTAAATAAGTAATTGTAATATGGCAAACAAGTAGTATGAGAAAGATCAAGTGCTGCTGTGGGGAAATTCAGAACAAGGCAGGATTCTTTCCAGCCTTTTCTTTTTGTGTAGGGAAGGAGACTTGTAGGATAGACCAAAGTGGAGATTATGGAGTAAAAGTATTCCATGTAGAAGGAACCCTTTGCCATATGTAGAGTTAAGAGTCTTGATGGCTGTTTGGGTGGGTTTTGTTTGTTTGAACTTTATGTGTGTGCATGCGTGTTTTAGAGAAAGTGCTTAAAGGATGGTTATGAGACATATTTGATGGCAAGATAGTTTGGGGTCAGATTTTAGAAGATTGCAAGCCAACTTTATTTGGTGGGAGTTGAGAGTCATTAAACATTTTTGAAAAAAGAAATGACATTACCTAGATTATGCTTTTGAAAAATGACTCTTATTTCTGTTTGAAATTTTAATAAGAAGCATACAATTCTTATGTCATCAGCAAAATATCATAAAAAGAAAAGATTCATCTAATTAGATTGTAAAGGGTGGATTAGAAAGTGAAAAAGTAGTGATAGGAAAACCAATTAAGAGGCTTATGCAATACTTACAACATGAGTAAACCACAATCCCTGATGTCTGCTTTTTGAAATGGTACTTAAGTGGAATACCTTTTAAGTTGGGGTTTATTTCAAGTTTTCAACTTAAATGGAAAAGAGAAAAATTGTCATTGGAATGTGCTAAAGAAAACTCAAAAGCAGAAATGTAGCTGGACCTCATAATAGTCCTGGCCCAGGAGCTAACAAACTTTTGGTACATCTCCTGCCTCTTCTACTCTATTTCTCATGGTAGTCATTATTTGTAAAGTTGGTTCTCATAGTTCATTTCAAAGTTGGAAAATGGTCTTCCTTGACTCCTACATTCAGTTATTATCATTTTAGCCATCAATATAGAGACTAGTAGAAAGAGAAAATAGTGACTTTTCCTCCCCTCTCAATTGTCATTTTGGAAAAAATTGACATGGCACCTTAGGTTCTTAACAATTTCTGCACATATTATCCAGTGACATCTGTTATACTGTCACAGTGTAGGTGAACATTCAGTACTTTATGAACCACTCTATCTTTTGGCTGATAGGGGACACCTCCAGGAGAGCTTTGAGTTCCAAGATAAAGGGTATCCCAGAGTGATAATTTTGAGACTTCCTCTAATCTCTATTGGTCCAGTAAAGTCTAGACTTTGTTTTTAATAATTTTTTTTAATTGTGATTGTGATGAAAGTTTACAGAAAAGTTAGATTTTCATTCCTTCTTTGTTGCACATTTTATCCTCTCTCCCTCTCTTCCCCCTCACACAGTTAACTTTTTTTTAATATTCATTCATTCTTGCACAGTTGCTTCCCTTCCCCTTCCTCCCCCCAATCCTCTTTGCAATGTATTTCTTATTCTGGGCTGTTGTCATACATAAACACTTTTCCTCTTCATCTATTCCAGTGTAGTGATCATCATTTATCCCTTTTCTTAGTTTCCTCCCAACCCCCATGTTAGTTCTGTTTTATAACAGTGGTCTAATGCAATATTTTTCCTTTTGTGACTGAGATATTTCACTCAGCATAATTGTACTTTTAAAAGAATTTTAGTCTTATTCTTTATTTTTTAATTTTAATTTTTTTCTCATTCTTCTGGGACCATGTGTGTTTCTGGTCAGAATCGTCAGTAGTGATAGCCAGTTGCCATGTACTTTTTGTGGTTTCTAGGTAAGTGAGGCCAGGTACCATCTAGTTTTTCTGGTCTCAAGGTAATAAGGCTGTGGTTCATGTAGACTATTAGTCCTGTAGCCTTGGTTTTTCTTTGAGTCTTTGATTTCCTTCTTTTCTTTCTTGCTCCAGATGGGTAGGGAGTAATAGTTGTATATTAGGTAGCTATTCAAAAGCTTTTAAGTCCCCAGACACTACTCACCATTATCTTTATGACCTATTTTATGCCACTTGACCGAGTTGTCCCTTGAGAGACTCTTGCTCATGATTTCATATTCTCAGGGATTGGACTTTGATTTTATTGTTCTCACAAATGAACTTTTACTACTTTACAGCCAGCAGCAATCAACTATGGCCAAGAGAGTATAACTATACTGTGAGAGGTTTTTCTTCTAGATAAGATAATTTAGATTGTAACTTAGATGTTATTGTTAGATAATTATGCTCTTTAAATTTGTATCATTGTTTAATTTCTTGACTAGAGTATAGCACATTACATTAAATTAATCATATTCTAGTTAAAAGAAATAATTAAAAATATTTGATAATTTTTCCCTAATAAGCTCCAGAATGTTTTTATGTTGAAATTTAACGGAGTATATGGACTGAGAGCGGGTAAGAGTACGTAGGTACTGAAAACGTTCAGTATCTTAGTTTGGGTAGTGATTACACAAGTTTATGCATCTACCAAGGTTCATCAAGATGTGTGTATTTCATGTAGCAATACCTTCATCTAGGAATAAGTCAAGGCAAGGTTGACTTGTTAGATTTATCTGCCTTCTTTTGTTGTGTATTGGTGATGTTAGTTGCCAAAGGGCTCTCCATTGACTCAACCAGTGCACGATAGAGTTGTACCAACTTCATGGTAGGTAATGGATGGGTCTGTGATGATCCCTAGGACTTTCATTTACTGCTTTTTGGAAGTAGATTGCCAGACCTTTCTTCCTAATTTTACTCTGGTGGAAGATTCATGGAAATATGTTCAGCATCATAGTAACAATAGCAGACTCCGCCGATGGTATGTTGACTGGAAATAAAACTCTAGTCTCATGCACATTGTTATAGTGTGTTACTGAGTTATATTCCAACTCCTGGCTGCCTTGTTGGACAGAGTAGAATTATCTCATAAGGTTTCAAAGATTACAGCCCTGGTGTTAGTAGTTTTGTTTTGTTTTAGTCGGTCTTTGTGGGAGCAGATTGCCAAGTCCTTTGCCTGTGGAGGCACCGCGGGGGGGGGGGGGTTAGAACCACTGACTTTTCAGTACATTCAAGCTTTTCATCATTGTGTCACCAGGGCTCTTGATAAAACATTTACATTCTACCAATGAACTACCAGTGTCTCTCCTTGTTACATAGATACCCATGTATTACTAGAAATGGTTTATACTACGTAGGTAAATTTAAATGATCATCTGTCTTATAATTTGAATGCTTGAGAGAGAAAAAAATTAAGACTTTTAAAAAAATGTATGGTAAACAAACATTATTTATTCTCTGATTTAGGAGCTGTGACTGATGAGAATTAAGGGCCATGGATGAAGATGGACTTGAATTACAACCACAGGGGCCAAACTCATTTTTTGATGCAACAGGTATACTACTTGGGTTGTTCCATTTCCCAGCTAATTTAAGATTGGTTATCAAGAGGATGATTGGCTAGTCTTTCACGTTTACATTCACACTTAACTATCTTATCCTTTCATAGACTCTACAAATGTCAAAGTATGTTTACTCTGCAAATGTTAGCTCATTATAATTCTCTTTTTAGAAATTTAGCTCCCTCACAACTAACTCTCATATTCTGTCAGTAAATGCAGCAATATTAAAACCTTAATGTTAACCTTCACTTGTTCTTATCTTTCCCAGTTAAACCACTAAGTCCTGTTTTTTCTTAGAAAATGGTCCTTGTTTACATCTGTGCCTCTTCATTCTTCCTGCCACGTAGACAGGCTCTGCCATCTCATTCCTAGTCTGCGATAACCTTTAAACTATTTTCCTTGCCCTTTGCCTCTTTTTTTTATCTAGTCCACCAATCAGAGTGTTCATCATAACATAACATGAATTATGTTATTTTTCTGTTTTCCATTACCCAAGAGATAAAGTGCAAACCCAAGGTCTTCCACATTCTGACCCTGCCCTGCTTTTTTACAAGTCTTTTACAAGTTTCCAAAAGGAGCCTCTGCTTTATGCAGATAGAGTGCTACCTTACTCCCCAGATGGCGCAATGAAAAAATAGCTCTTAAAGTTTTAGTAATAGGAAAAAAATGTATTCACAATTTCAGTTTACCCATGTGTCTGATTATGTCATAAAATAATTACACTAGGTTTTTATAATGTAAAATGGTTTTATACTAAACTAATTACAAAAAAAATGTTCTTTTTCCACTGAACTTTTAATTGGTTGTATTGCAGTATTTTAAAGAAATTAATCTTATCGATCAATTAAAATTGTGATTTTTCAGTTTTTAAATTTGGAAGTTTTTAAATTTGGAATTTTCCATCTCTAAATCCAGAGGCCATTGCGTATTTTTTAAAGCAATTTGGGATGGTCTTTTGACTCATGTTTGATAACTTAATCTTGCCCCAAGCAAGCATGGCTCACGGACTAAGATAGATTGAAAGACTATGGCATTTTTGCCCTGATTCTTTTTTCCCTGCAATATCTATAAGCACTTTATTACAGATCTGGGAGAAAGCAGTGAGGTCCTTCTCAGAGACTGCCTCCAGCCCTGGTTCTTAATACTTATGGTACTTGTTTATTTTTGAGCAAGTCACTTAATCTGCCAGTTGCCTACATTTTTATATCATGATAATAGTGAAACCTCTCATCATAGTTTTGTAGAACATTTCCCCATACTTTCCCATTTGCTCATTGTGACAATCCTGTGGGATATATGTGATATATGAGATATATGTCCTCAGTTTACTGATGAGGAAACGGAAACTAAGAGGTTAAATGACTTTCCCAAGGTCACAAAACTTATAGATGTCCAAAACCCTCTCTGATTTGGACCTTTTAACCAGTGCTCTTATTTAATGCTTTTCATCCTCATGTCTGCAAAGTCAAGATCAATTTTCCATAGTCTTTGGTCTTTGTTGACTATTCTTGTTTATTGATGAAGCCATTTCTTTTTCTGTGGGCCTCGCCTATGACACGCATTGAACTAGGCACCTACTTGGACTAGTGCTTCTCAACCATTCTCAAGCATTTATTGGCTGAATAGATTTTAGGTTAAGACTCCTAAATTTTTGTTTGCTTTTCTCTGCATCAGGAGTTAAGATACTAGATTTATTCTCATTTGTGTTTTTTATAAGGGTATTTTTTTTTTGAGGATGCTAGGTTTATTCCAACAACAGTGCAGCAAACACACTGATCAATGTAAAATGAACTGTATCATTAACAATGCAATGCAGACTCATAAAAACAGAATCATGACCTAAAAATACAAAGTTAGCCTGGCAATATCCCCAACAATACCCTTCCATGGTAATTATAATCAACACTTTGGTATTTTTCTTCCTAGATAACTCATAAGCTTCTATATTTTTATTGCTTATTTTTATGTAAATGTTACTGTACTGAAGAGAATTTAAAAGTAAAAAAATGAGTTATTGAGTTATATTTTAAGTAGGAAATGGTAACTATAATAAATTATCATATACTCTGACCCATAAAATCCTGAATGTTTACAGAAAAACAATTTTTATTTTTATTTTTTTTTTTATTAAGTTTTGTGTGCGTGTACCGTCAAATCAGATCTGACTGGTACAGGAGGAGATTGCCCCTCCTTCCTCGGCAGAGCATCTGGTGGATTCGAACCGTGCACCTCTGGGATTGTAGTTGCAGCTTCTTGCCACTAGGCCACCAGAGAGCTCCCTATAGAAAAACAATTGGTTAAGGTTTTATTCATCCTTAAAATGAACCTAAAGTAAAACAAAGATAGAAATGATAAGCAAAAAAGTAAAATAACTTCAGTTATAAATCCATTGGTAAATCAAGTTTTACAGTATTTTTGTATAGATGGAAATCTATGCTTAAGAAAAAATGATAAATGCAGACTTAAGCTTCAGATATCCTAGGAAATCTAATCAATTTATTACTTAACATAAAAATAACCTTTTTTATTTTTACACAAACTTTTCAAACTACTTACACTTACATAAGTACTTATACTTACATAAGGGTATTTGGCTTCTATTCCAATTCGTGGCATCCATTAAGTGTAACATTGACTGAGCACCAGACACTGTGCAAACTATGATCTTGGTTAAGTAGTTTAATCTTCCTGGACTTGGAGTGGTTCAATCTCTGCCTTTATTCCTTAACTACAGAGTGGACTAGATTAGAGTTTTGGGGTTTTTTTTAAATTAGAGTTTCTTATATTCAAGGACGTGCCTTGAAGGTTAAGAGTTGAGGATATAAGGAGGAGGCTAGAGGGAGGTAGAGTAACCTGGTGAAATTGTGGACAAGTCTTTCACCTGCCAACTTTACCCTCTGTCACATCAGAGCAGGTGAACTTTTATTCATGTTGTTTGTTTATAAAGACTCTTCAGTCACTTGCCTTTCCTCCTTACTTGTGGTCTTCTGTCCTTCTTTTCTTTTATGTCCTAGTCCTTTTTAAGTCCTTGACTCGGGATTATTTCTAAATTTCTCGTCATAAATGGAGGATATTGGTAGGAAAAAGGGAAGAATATGAAAAGAGAAAGAAAATTAAAGATAAATAAAAGAAAAAGAAATATTATTTCCATGGGAGAGATGGAAAAGAAGGAAAAATATGGATTGATGAGGGAGGTGGGACAAGAAAGAAAAGAAGTAAAAAGCAGATATAGTTGCAGAAAGAAAATGGTGTATTTGTCCCCGAAGTTCCAATACTTATTTAATATTCATCCCTTAAGTATCTGTGCATATGAATTTCAGTTTAGTTTGTCTAGAATATTTCTTTTATGAATACTTTTCATTGATTGTGTGTGTTTCAGAAAATTATCAGTTGATTTGGGGTTAATACAAATTTTCTACTTGTAATAGATTAAAAAACAGATTTTTTCTTCCTTCCTTCCCTTCCTTTCCTTCCTTCCTTCCCTCCCTCCCTCCCTCCCTCCCTCCCTTCCTTCCTTCCTTCCTTTCCTTTCCTTTCCTTTCCTTCCTTTCCTTCTGTCTTAATGGCCTATTGTTAAGAACCTGCATTGCATGCAGTTTGAATCTGCCAGTTGCTCTGTGGGAGAAGGGTGGGCAGTCTCCTTCTATGCGATTTATGGCCTCTGAAAACCCATTGGAGGGTCAGTTATGAGTTGGTTCTGACTCAATGGCACACAACAACAGCAGCAAAAATGTTTTGGGGGGGAAATGTTTGTGAAAACTGGAATGCTTGTCTGTTTTTCTGGTAGAAATGTAAAATTAAGTGTTTGAAAACATGGCTACCTGAAATTTACCATTTAACTTGAAATTTATTTCTTTTTTACAGGCACTGACGCTACACATATGGATGGTGACCAGATTGTTGTGGAAGTCCAAGAAACTGTTTTTGTTTCAGATGTTGTGGATTCAGACATAACCGTGCACAATTTTGTTCCTGATGACCCAGACTCGGTTGTAATCCAAGATGTTATTGAGGACGTTGTTATAGAAGATGTTCAGTGTCCAGATATCATGGAAGAAGCAGATGTGTCTGAAACGGTCATCATTCCTGAGCAAGTGCTGGACTCTGATGTAACCGAGGAAGTTTCTTTAGCACACTGCACAGTCCCAGATGATGTTTTAGCTTCTGACATTACTTCAGCCTCCATGTCTATGCCTGAACACGTTTTGACAAGTGAATCTATACATGTGCCTGATGTTGGGCATGTTGAACATGTTGTTCATGATAATGTTGTAGAAGCAGAAATTGTCACTGATCCTCTGACAGCCGATGTAGTTTCAGAAGAAGTCTTGGTAGCAGACTGTGCCTCTGAAGCAGTCATAGATGCCAACGGCATCCCTGTGGACCAGCAAGATGATGACAAAAGCAACTGTGAGGACTACCTTATGATCTCCTGTAAGTTTCGGGGTAAAGTGATTATCAAAGTTTTTTTCCAAAGGCTGAGTTTTCTGATTTACATCAGGGCAAATTTTTTTTCACTTAATGCTTTTATAAAATGAAAGCAAATCTCATAAACCTGCCTGCATTGTTATTAGAATTTAGATCCCTTGAGGTGACTCAAAATTGAGAATAGTAGAAGGAGAGAATAGAAAAGTTTTTTTGGTCTGGAATGATGACTGATATGACTAGAACTGAAGTCTGCAGTTGGTGATGGTTGTGGTTAGGCTGTTATCAGCCTTTATGGAATTAGGAACTCTCTTGGAACTTAAAGAGATTCAACTTGGAAATAAAAAAGTATACACAGACTATTGAAATACTTGTATTCAGGTGACAGTACTTACATCATACTTAATCTTTATGCAAGATACTACTTTTATAACACCACAGAAAAGGGAAAAGAACTCTGGCATAATATTGAAACAAATTACGTCAACACATAATTTTAAGTATAGATTCATCGTAGATTATTGAACAGAAAAGGTGTTTTGGAACGTCTAACTGTTTAACAACTGAGAGGATGATTGTGCTTTCTTACAGCATCTGTCTTGGTACCACTTTGAGAAAATTCCAAGTTGGCTAGATCACAGTTTTAACTCAGTATGGAAACTCTTGGGAATTTAGCAATGAAACTTCAAATTAGGACATCAAGGCTCACAGATGATTTGCTTATATCATTTCACAAGGCTGTTTGCTTTGGGTTTTACTACAAGATTTAGTATAAGATATATTGAAGTCCAGCAATTTAGGAAATAGCATTTTTAATGTTCCTGAGGTGTTGGAGTTACAGAAATCTTTGCAAAAAGAGGAAGAAACCCCCTTCATTCAGCACATATTTGTTGAGCTCCTACTATGAGTCTGATGTTATTAGAGATGCTGCAGATACAGATAAGCACTAAAGAAATCCCTGCAGAGCATGATTGCATGTTTATAGGCTTCCTTGGGACAGAATTATAGGTTACCATATGATAAAGAGATGAGAATAACTGTTGGGGAGAAAGAGGATGGTGTGGTTGACTTTTGACTTCAAGAACGAGTTCTGGTTGTACAAGATGAGAGATATGGTTATGAAGAAAACAATGCAGGCAAATCACACAAATCTTACACAAGATCTAGGCTTTGTTGGATAGGATTAGAACTTCAGGATGCCATTGTGTACCTTCCTTTTACTTTTGGTCCCATTTCTTAGACTAATATCTTAGACAAAATTAAAGGGATACATAATTACAGTTGTGGTATATATTACCTCAATATTTTGCTTGATAAGAAATAGAAAATAGAAAATGTCTATTTCTGTATACTATAACCAACAATGATTTGTGTTTTTTTAGTTCTTATCAGTCTATCTGATAGGGGGAAATATGGTGGATCCTGGGTCCTGTTTTAATTTATTGTTTATTTTGGGGGAAAGTTCTGTTAGCAGGTAGGGTTGAAGGAGAACAGGTGAGGGAAAGATTAGTTGCAGAAAGATAGTTGAAATGATTCTTCTATGAAATAAAGAACATACTACATTAACAATAATACATTGTTAGTAATGGCGACAAAGAGAAGAACCTCAATTCAAAAGATTAAGAAGCAATATGGACAGAACTTGTTGATAGACACCATAGGGATAGTGATCTGAGAGAGAGAATTCATTGATGATCCTAACCTTTTTACTTTCAGAGATTGAGTGGCTAGTTATGCCATTAAGAAGAGGGGAGACGTAGATTTGGTGAGAAAGAAAATAATTCAGGATTTATTAAAAGTTTGGATTGCTTGCGGGGAATAATCTGAAGAATATTTTTCTCAGCATTACAGATAAGAATTTTAGTGCTTTTGAAAAAGGCTGTGGCTAGAGAAAGACATTTAGGACAACGGAATATAGATACTATTCTAAATGGAAATGGAAGTTGGTGCCCAAAGAGTGCTTGTAAAATAATTAGTGTCAAATATAGATCCCTTGGGTATTTAAGAAGTAGACACAGGAGTAAAGTCTTAAAAATTGGAATGTTTTGGAACTTTAAAAAACAAAGAACCTCTAGAGAGTATTGTCAACACTGTAAAACTAATTTCTAGGCGTGCTAGGTACTGAGGAGAGCGTAAACGTTTTCTTAATGATAAGAGTTTCAGGAAAGCATACATGTAAGAAAGAAGTTAATGGAAATGATGGAGTAGGTGAAGGTGTGGAAATTACCCTTTTTTTCAGTAAATGGATGACATTTTGGTGGTTGATTGGATGTCAAGCTTATAGTTAAAGGACATTGGACAGAAAAAAACTGAAGACTAGGGAAGAACTATCAGAACAGGTATAGCAGGACTAGACAGCGGGAAGGGACTGGGGTTCAGGACAGACATAAAGGACTGGGAATTGAGTCCTAGAGGAGAAAAGCACATCTCTGAGACTGCAAAGCAGTTAAGGGTGAGGCTCCGATTGGTAGAAGAGAAGTTGTTGAATGTTGGGAGTTACTTAGTTGAAAATGCCTCTGCCAGATGTTCTATTGCAAGATAGATTTGGTGACCTTGGAACAGGCTGGAAAAAGTTGAGCACTATATCGTGATTTATGAGGGGAAGAAGATCTGGTAAAATACCACCAAGGAGAAAATACTCCCAGTTCCCCTTGACCCCTCTCAATATTCTCTGCCCCTTCTGTTTTCCTAAGCATGTTTGCTAAGGAGTAAAAGGCATTGACTTGACAATTCACTGCACATTATCTCTTGCTTTTATTACTCTTTTAAGAAATTCAACCCTCTCAGGGAATCATTAGGAAAATAGAGAAATTGCTTTAGTAAGAGTTGATATAGTGCATTAGATTGTTGTATTATCCAGTCCACACTCAATACACAGTCCTTATTTTAAAAATCTTTGCCATTTTTCTTTTAGGCCTTGAGTTTTTGCCAATGTATACAACTCTCCTGTTTCTTTAAAAAAAAAAAAAGACATAGAGACAGACATTAACTGCTTTCATATGTATTTTAACTATGATGATAATTTATTCCTCTTCTTTTAAAATAAAATTTTATACCCAAGCTAACATAATGTAAATATGCATTCTGAAACACACACAATTGTACATAATGCTATCTTATTCTTCTATTTTACAATAATGAAGTGGTTAGATTGTTTTTAACTTTGGTTTAAGGGTGGTAACTTTTGGGAATAATTTTTATTTTATCTTTTTTATTTTATGCAGTCCCTTATTCATTCTTGGTTTTATCTCTTCCAAACCATTGTTCCTTTTTCCTTCAAAGCAATGATCATGTTTATTTAAAAAATTCACTTTCTTTTGATTTTGTAATCAAACTAGTTGAAAGTCTTGGAATAAATGAACACTTCTCTTGTTTCTGCCTTCCAGTAAAGGTACTACTTTTATAGTGTCTTGTAATGTAAAGCCTATATTGATTTCAGAAGTTTAGGATTAACAAAGACTTTAGGGTAAGTGTGTAGAGGAACTGTGGCCTGATATTATCCATGATGGAGAATGCTGAGATGCAATTAATACCAGTCAACTTTAATGCTTTTCTTAATGATTAGAAATGGTAGTATCTTTTAATGACTCTAAACGCTTCATGGGTCAAAGACAAACATGAACAGATGTCTAAACATTTCCTTCTCATTTAAAAATGTCAGTGAGTCATTTAAGAGCCTAAGAGACTACTTTTATAAAGTGTTTCTTGTTAATCTTGGTAGTGTTCTTTTCCTCTGAAGGTCTCATTTTAAGTGATGTTGAAGAAGCAGTCTTTGTTCTTTATACAGTGAAACCAGACCTCGATGAGACTGCCTTGTTTTTGTGGATCTCACAAGTTTTCTGCCTTTGACAGGGTGCAGTCTTACTACTTTTCTCTTTCTGCTAAGAATCCTACCTTATAAACACCCAGTTAGTTGTCCTTCCCTTATAGATTTCTGTCTTCCATAGGTTCTGACTTTTTGCAGGTTTTATTGTAGTGCTTGGTAATCTTATCTAGACACACAGCTCTTTTTCACAAGGTCAAGGTGATCTTTTTTTGTAGTTTTTGCCATCTAGATGTTGCTATTACTCCTGAGTTGATTGTACCTTGGCAGCAGGATCTGCTGTGTCTTACCCACATACCTATCTTCACCATCAGAATTCTCTGGGTAGCAAAAATAGTTATGCCAAGAGGTTGATGATTCAACTCATCCAGAAGTGCCTTGAAAGACAGGGTGGTTAATCTGCTTCCATAGGTCATGAAAACCTTCTGGAGCAGTTTCATTCTCTGCATATGGGCTTGCCAGTTGTTGTTGTTAATTGCCATCGAGACAGCTCTGATTCATAGCAACCTTCTGTACTTGAGCCTGGTGTTACAACCACTGTGTCAGCTCATCTTGTTAAGAGTCATCTGCTTTACCAAGCATGTGTTTCTTCAGGAACTGGTTCCTTCTGATAACATGATCAGAGTCTTGCCATCTTCACTTCTCCCAAGACTGATTGGTTTTTTTAGCAGTTCACTGGAATCAATTAAACACACTAACCACCAGAAGATCTTCATCAAACCCTTTGACAGTAGGTATAATGACAGTATGAATGTGATAACTGAAATTCTGTGGACATCACTCATGCCTCATCCAACAGTGCATTGATTCCTTGCTGATCACTGTGGGCTCTTTGCTTCCATTCTGGCTAGCGAGATGGTACTTGGGATTTTTCTTGCTCAGAGACATGGAGTGTTTGAGTCATCCACTTACTACTCAAGTTAGTTCTTAGCTCTTCTTTATCTTATACAGCTACCAGACTTTCCATAATCTCTTTGCAACAGTCTTTAGTCTTGTGAAGTTTTCCTTTGCAACTTGGGATAGTCAGGATGCTGTTTTTGTGAATACCAGTTTGTAGATTAGGAAAAGTTTAGAAGCTCTGGTGATGATGAGTCAGGCACTGACTTAACAACAAAGCAGGGAAGAAAATAGTCTTTAGTCTGTGCTACTTACATGATTGATGATATGTTACTCTTTAGATTTTGTT